GCCCTGCGGCAACTACTCCCCCGCCCTGAGGCACCCCCGCAGCAGCTCCCCACCCCCCCGGCCCGGGGAGCCGTGCGGCAGCTCCCCAACTCAGCTCACCTCTGCTCCGCCTCCTCCCCGAGCACGCAGCCCCTGCTCTAATTCTCCTCCCTTCCCAAGCTTGCGGCGCCAAACTGCTGATTGGCACTGCAAGCCTGGTAGGGGAGAAGTGGAGCGGCGACCGCACGCTCGGGGATGGGGCGTAGGAATGCTGTTAAAAAAAAATTGGAGGCACCGCTTTTTGGCACCCCCAAATCTTGGTGCCCTAGGCAATCGCCTAGTTTGCCTTAATGGTAGCACCGGCTCTGCCTGGGTTCTATCCCCAGCTGTGGAAAGGGACTGGGGACTAGTGGTTAGAGCAGGGGAGCTGGGCATCAGGACTCCTGGGCTCTGTCCCCACTCCGGGAGGTGGGTGGGCACTAGTAGGTTAGAGCGGGGAGGGAGATGCTGGGAGCAAGAACTCCAGGGGTCTATTGCCAGCTCTGAGCGTCTGTTGCTGTGTGACTTTAAGCAAGTCACAGCCTCGCCGTGTGCCTCAGTTTCTCCATTGGTTAAATGGAGGCAATGACAGTGGCCTCCTTTGTAAAGGATGTTGAGATCGGCAATGCCAAAGCAGTGGACGAGCGCTAGGTGTTATTACGTATCAATAACCCTCCCATGCCTTCCCCACCCCCCTTTTCCAGGCGGGAGCTGTTCACCTCTGGGAGAGGCGCTCGGGATGAGGCCACCAAGGTTCTCATTGTGATCACAGATGGGCAGAAATACAATGACCCACTTTCTTATTCAGACGCCATCCCAGAGGCTGAGAGAGCTGGGATCATCCGCTACGCCATCGGGGTGAGCTGCAGCCGTGTGGAGAACTAGTATGGTTCTGAGCCCGTGTCCAAGGACAGGGGATGGGGAGGGGGTTCCCATCACATAAGGGAGAAGAACGGACACCCTGGGTTGTAACTGGGCCAACGTGTGACATTATAGGAGAGCTGGAGCTCCTCTGTGGTTCAGGTTGAGCGGCACTTTCTAGTAAAAGGTTGGGTTTTCTGACTGCCCTACAGTCCATGTGCTGACTCAGGTTGCCATGAATTTTGGTATTCCTCGTGGGGATGCAGGTTAGGATTAGTGGTCTGCATTTGGGATCATTTGAACAAGGGGTTTCTGAGATACAGCCCCCCCACCGGCCCGTTAAACAGCAAAGTCACCCATAGAGGAGAGGAAAGTGATCAGGAACAGTCAGCATGGATTCACGAAGGGGAAGTCATGCCTGACTAACCTAATTGCCTTCTATGATGAGATAACTGGCTCTGTGGATGAGGGGAAAGCAGTGGATGTGTTATTCCTTGACTTTAGCAAAGCTTTTGATACGGTCTCCCACAGTATTCTTGCCGCCAAGTTAAAGAAGTATGGGCTGGATGAATGGACTGTAAGGTGGATAGAAAGCTGGCAAGATCGTCGGGCTCAACGGGTAGTGATCAATAGCTCCATGTCTAGTTGGCAGCCGGTTTCAAGCGGAGTGCCCCAAGGGTCGGTCCTGGGGCCAGTTTTGTTTAATATCTTTATTAATGATCTGGAGG